CCCTATGTTGGCAAAAGGCGACTAGGGGATGGAGATTGGAGCCGTATGTTGGCAAAAGGCGACTAGGGGATGGAGACCCTATGTCTAAAAATCTCAACTAGGGGTTTGAGACCCTATGTTGGCAAAAGGCGACTAGGGGATGGAGACCCTATGTCTAAAAATCTCAACTAGGGGTTGGAGACCCTATGTTGGCTAAAGGCGACTAGGGGATGGAGACCCTATGTCTAAAATCTCAACTAGGGATTGGAGCCCTATGTTGGCAAAAGGCGACTAGGGAATGGAGGCCCTATGTCTAAAATCTCAACTAGGGATTGGAGACCCTGTGATGGAAAAACGTAAAAGATTGAGATTGGGGATCCTATGCTACCATTTTTTTTCTTGTGGAAAGCAATAAAAGTCAGGATTGTGTATCCTTGGGTAAGAAGAGATTAGGGAGTGGAGCCCTATATCTATGCTAGAAATCAACTAGGGATTGAGGGCCCTAACTTGGAAAGATTGCCAGGTTATGCTGGAAGAATGGCCGGGTTATGCCAGAAAGGTAGGAAGGTCCTCGGGTTATGCCGGGGAAGTTCGTCAGGTTATGCCGGAGAAGAAAAAGGTCCTCGGGTTATGCTGGGGAGGTCCACGGGTTATGCTGGGCGATTCATCGGGTTATGCCGGAAAAGAGAAAAGATCCTCGGGTTATGCCAGGGGGAAGTCATCGGGTTATGCCGAAAAAGAAAAAGGTCATCGGGTTATGCCGGGGAGGTCCACGGGTTATGCCGGGACATTCATCGGGTTATACCGGAAAAAAAAAAAGGTCCTCGGGTTATGCCGGGGAAAATCATTGGGTTATGGCGGAAAAGAAGGTTATGCCGGGAGTTTCATCGGGTTATGCCGGAAAAGAGAAAAGGTCCTCGGGTTATGCTGGGGAGGTCCTCGGGTTATGCCGGGGAAAATCATCGGGTTATTCTGGAAAAGAAAAAGATCCTCGGGTTATGCCGGAAAAGTCATCGGGTTATGCCGGAAAAGAGAAAAGGTCCTCGGGTTATGCTGGGGAGGTCCACGGGTTATGCCGGAAAAGTCATCGGGTTATGCCAGAAAAGAGAAAGGGTCCTCGGTTATGCCGGGGAGGTCCACGGGTTATGCCGGGAAGGTCATCAGGTTATGCCGGAAAAGAAAAAGGTCCTCGGATTATGCCGGGGAGGTCCACGGGCCATGCCGGGAAAATCATCGGGTTATGCCGAAAAAGAAAAAAGGTCCTCGGGTTATGCCGGGGAGGTCCACCGGTTATGCCGGGAAGGTCATTGGGTTATGCCAGAAAAGGAAAAAGGGTCCTCGGGTTATGCCGGAAAAGGAAAAAGGGTCCTCGGGTTATGCCGGGGAGGTCCACGGGTTATGCCGGAAAAGAAAAAAGGTCCTCGGGTTATGCTGGGGAGGTCCACGGGTTATGCCGGGAAAGTCATCGGGTTATGCCGGAAAAGAAAAAAGTCCTCGGGTTATGCCGGGGATCAACTAGGGAGTGGAACCCTATAATGGAAAAGACTACCAGGTTATGCTGGAAGCGACTAGGGGATGGGGCCCTATGTTGGAAAAATGTAGCTAGAGATTGGGGACCCTAGGCTACCATGATTTTGAATTTTCTTCTTTTTTTTTCTTTTTCTTTTTCATTTTCGTCATTTTTCTTCCATTTTTTTATTTTATTTTTTATTCTATTTAAGAAAATGAGTAAAAATGCAGGAAAGAATATGGAGGAGACTTCCCTTTTGGATTGATTATTGCTGCAAAGCTGTTTCTAGCCCTTGTGCAGTTTCTTTTTGGTCGCACCTGCTTCTTGCAAGATTGCTTTGGATTGCACCTGTTTCATGTTTTGAAACAAAGAATAATTGTTAGTTTGAAACGGTGGTTGGTTTTGTGGCCTTGACGGTTTCGATCACTTAATCTCGGCCCAGCTTCTTTGATGAAGACCTCAACTGCAACTGCTTGTTCCCTGAGGACTGATTCCATTTCAGGCCCTAGAGAACCTCTGGTTTTTCCAGACTTTGCTCTGACGGTTGGTCACGTGGGACTTCAGCTTTCAACTTTATTTCACCTTTGTGGGCTTTTCCCTTTTTGACTCCCTTTCTTCTTCTTTGTTTTTCTCTTCTTCTTTTTTCTTTTTTTTTTTAACTTCGGAGTATTGTGGAACTTTGCTCCTCAAACTTTGGCGCAACAGCTAGTCGCGTGGGACTTAACCTTTTCAACTTTGTTTCGCCTTCGTAGGCCTTTCATTTCTGGCTTCTTTCTTCTAACTTCAAATTCAGATCATTTGAGGCAACTTGGCTTTTTTCGAATCTTTGCCGAGACGGTTAGCCACGTGAGACTCAACCTTTTCAACTTTATTTGCCCTTATAGGCACTTCAATTTGATTTTCTCCTTCCGAGAGTTTTGATTTCGAAGCATCGGACGCCATGGCCAGTCGAGTTCGACTTGATGCCCTTGACGCGGCTTGGTGCCTTTTTGCACATTAGCTCGTATCAAACGAAAGCCCTGTAAATCAGTCTTGCCATCTCTTCTTTGCCTCAGCTTTGGAACAGAGTTAGACCGAAAGGGATTCAAAGAAAACAAACAATGGAATGGAGAATGAGTTTAAAACAAGAAGTGTCCCTTTCAGGGAGAGGAAAGAAGGACTTATCTGGAGTACATACGGACTTCAGTGAACATGACATGCCTTTTGGACTGGATGCCTGATCTGTGTAAACCATCTGACTCTCAGAAATTCATCACAAATTTGCCTTGAAATCGAGAACCTTGCCAAGACTCTATCGATGCCGATGGTTGTGAGGATCCTCTTTTCGATCAGGGACGCCCTTTGCGGGTTTTCACGAGCTGACCTCTCTCATTTATCTTCTCACCATCGCCTTATAGTGCTCTTTGCGAGTTTTCACTAACAAGACTCTCTCATTTCAATTTCTCTGCTTACTGTCGCCTCACGGTGCCTATGTGGGTTTTCACCAATAAGACTCTCTCATTTTTGTTGTATCGGATCCAAATAACTCTATCCTCCCATTTTGAACCTCTTTGCCGATTGATCAGAAGGACTTGAACAAGGTTTGGGGTAAAAGAATTTGGATTGAATTACAACTTTGGAACCTTTCTGGCGAAACCATCGCCGGACCATTATAACATCTGCCCCAGTTTTATTTTTTGGGGAATTTGGATTTTTATTTTGGTGTGACTGAACCCCAGAGAGAGGCTTCCTACGTATCCTTTCGGAATCAAGTCGAACGTAGTTCAGGGAACTTTTGTTTTTGGTTTTCTTTTTTCTTCTATTTTGTTTTGTTTTCTCTTTCTTTCTTTTTTTCTTTCCTTTTCCTCTCTTTTTTTTCATTTTTTTTATTTCAATTTTTTTTGTCTTTTCTTCCTCTCTTTTTTTGTATTTTTCTTTTTCTTCTCTTTTCATTTTTTTTTTCATTTCAATTTTTATTTTCAACAACACTTTCAGGTTCCAAAGAGGGTAATCAAAGAAGAGTAACCGGTTCAAAGGGTTGGCAAGGGTTAATAGTGTTTGGGTAGCGAGAAAGAAAGCCTTCTTCATCCCAATCGGAGAACATTAATGCTATATAGAGGATCAAACATAGTACCTTTCGACTGCATTTGCATTGCCATTTGTCTCCGGGACATTTCCTTCGATGTGTCCCAAGTACAACGCACTCTGTTGACAGTACTCTTGTTGCAATGTATGGACCTTTCCAATCTGGAGCCAATTTCCCTTTAGCTGTTCCAATTCTTTGTTTTATTTCCTCAAACTTATCTTCTTGCATTCTGAGTCTTGATTCATTATTTCGAAGTCTGACAGCGTTTTAGGATCTGGGCATGAAGTCCGCAAGCATATCATGTTATTGAAATCTGCATTTAACAGAACTGAAAAGAGAATAAGAAAACGACAAGATTAAGAAAAGAGACATTCCTGGACAATGAAATATTAATTTCATTTGATTTTT